ACACACACACACACACACAAACACACACACATCGAGCTTTCTTTGCCTCGCATTCAGAGCATGCTAAATTCGGAACACTCTTAGGTTAACATTGCAGAGATACGTTGCAATATGCAAAATCGCGTTCATTTATTGCTTTACATATTTCAGCCGATTCTTATGTAAATCTGCGAAACCAAAAATGGCGTAAAGTCTATCATCGCTTAATATGTCTTGAAAAAAATATTGCTGTTAAATTCTCTGTCTGTATTATTACTTCTTATTATTCTTATCCGTTTTTGAAATCGCATATATTGAATTACCTCTCTGCCTGTTTATTAGTCCATCTATTCATATAGCTATTGATATGTCTATACATATCAGTCTGTCTATCTATTCTTCTTTCGATTGCTCTATCTATTCAACTATCTATCGCTATATCTATACATCTACATACATTTCTGTGTTTCTAAATGTGCACTCATACACAAATACAGTATAATAAGTAAAGAATGCAAATGGAGTACACAACACACACACACACACACACACATACACAGATACATACACACACACATACACATACACACAACACATACACACACACACACACACATACCACACACACATACACACACAACACATACACACACATACACACACACACACCACACACATCACACACACAATACACAACATCACACACACCACATACACATACACACACACACAGATACATACACACACACACACATACACACAACACACACAACACATCCATATGAATGATCATTTATCATTCCAATCATCCTAAAACCTGCACTAAAATACTGTCATTAATTAATATATTCTATCTTTACTATTACTAATTTCTTGCTTTACTATTCATTATTTCATTACATCATTTATCAATATCATTTATTATTATTATCATTATTATTTTATCTATTATCTTTATTATTATCATCATTTTCATTATCATAATCATCATTATTATTATTGTTAACAATAATATCACTACCATTATTTTAATGCTATTATGACTATTATCATTTTCATTATCATAATTATTGTTATTATCATTATTATCACTGTTATTACTTTTATCATAGACATTATTATCATCATTGTAATTATCATGATTATGATTAATAGTATCATTATAATTATTTATTCTATTATTATTATCAATATTATGTCATTATCGCTGTAATTAGTTCATTTAATTTCCAATCGATTATGCTTATGTTCATGGCCCTTATTATCATATCTATTTTATGCTTATCATAATTACCAATGCTGTCAACGTCATTAACATCATTGTCAACATTAATTATATAATTATCATCTTTACTTATGTCATAAGAATCATATTATCTCCTCTGTCATTATGACCCAAATGACTAATGTCATTCTCAAAAAAAAAAAAAAGAAAAAAAAAAGTTAAATCCTTATCATTATTACTGATGTCGTGAATACCATTTATATCACTATCATCCATAGAAGCGTTTATAATTCATCAGCTTTATTTACAGTTTGCTTTTATTATTACTATCTCTGTCGTTATTGTTATTACCATTATTGTTGAATAACAATGATTTTCGCAATCACTATCATCGTCAGCATTATGATTATCATTACTATTCACATTGCCACTAACTCTAGAATGTCATTTTTATCAGAACCGCTTTTATTAAAATTATATCAGTACCATCAGAAGTACTATGGTTAATCAGTCTGCAATTTCTATATATATATTTCTAGAAACATTCTACCGAATATAACATCAAAGTTGATATTCTCAATTCCGTTATCTAGATTTTAGTTTTACCAATATTGCTGATATTCATTTAGAGTCGCAAATGCAAAAAGTTTTTTCTTTATCTTTACCACATTAAGTTCTAATGCTGTTGTTACTGTGATTTTTGTTCTATACGATAATGAATATAGGCAGCATAGACGGCATCATTATTCTGATGACCTAAGCTGGACATTTATTATGATTCCTGACTGATGACTTTCTGTGGCATTACAAATGATTAAGTCAGGACAGTAAATCCGACAGAATTGTTTACACACATGAAAGAACACATTTTCCGTTCATTTCTCTTCCAATTTGACGCAAATCAGGCACTCACTTTTAGAGATATATTTAATTCACTTTTGTAACTACAAGACGTCGACTCAGTCTCCAGACCTGTATGGACAACTCCATATTTCAGATTGACACACTGATGTTTCCAAAAATTAACAGAAAGCGTTGCACAACAGAACTATGCTGCTGAGAAACATTAATATCTGTACAACTATTATATCATATTTGATTTTGATCGGGTTGTCGATTCTTCGTTCTTACTGTAGATAAAGTCCATGGTTTATGAATATCAAAATAATTTGTTTTAATTGTTGAAACTAATATGAAACAATAATGATATCTTAAAAAAAAACATTCGTTGAGTCTGCGGAGGTCCAGCGAGATTATTATCGTTAACTTCATTGGGTATATTGCCACTAACTCTACACTAACACTAACTTGTATCATCATTACTAATAAAGATATTTTACTTGCAATGTTAACATCATTATCGTTATTATCATCATTATCATTATTATTATCATCATAAGAATCCTTATTATTACTATTATTGTTATTATTATGATCATTATTATCATTATTACTATCATTCCCGTTGTAATTACTACTACTACTGCTACTACTATTATTATTATTATTATTATTATTATGATTATTACTATTATCATTATCATCATCACCATCATCAATATCACTATAATCATCATCATCATTATGATCTATAAACAATCTTATAATCATTATTGCTATTATTATTATTACTGCCACTATCCTTATCATTGTTGTTATCATTTACATCTTCATTTATAAGACAATTACTACTAAAATTATAATCAACATCACCAATTCTATTTTTATCATTGGTATCAGCATTTCCATCATCATCTTTGTCATTATAGCTTTTTCATCTTTCTTCATCGTTACTAGATTTCTTTTGGTTATGAACTTTTTATTAGAACCACTATTGTTATCATTTTAATTTTCATTGCTGTTATCCTTTTATTAATTTCTCCCTATTTTCATTGTTCCAACCATTTTCATCCAATTTACCTATATCATTATATACTACTATAATCATCATTAGCAAGACTTACTGTGATCTTCATGATAATACTTTTCATTCTTACTTTCTGCCGCTACCATTACAGTGGTTATCATTATCATCATAATTAATACGTTGACATTATGGTTCTACATCTAGATTCTAGTTTCCTTTCCTGTGGTTCCTCCATGTCTAAAAATCACCTCTTTTTGTCACAGGAAAGGAATTCGATTAAATCCAATATGCAGTGACATCTAAACACAGAAAACACGTTTTTTTGAGGGATCTACAGTACAGACTACACAGGACATGAACTTGAATAGGTGACATGAGGGTTGAGAACACCAATCTACGTTTTCTACACAGCTACTTTATGTGAGTAGATAGGGTAAAGATATTGAATCCATTAATCGTATCCTAATTCTAAATCAGTCAAAATCATTGTTTTGTAGTTGAATATCTAAATATAAAAGGCTTGTGCTATAACTACAGAACATGTATGATACTTCTCTCTCATTTCACATTGGGGTATTCTTTATGATTTTGTAATCACTAATTTCCATCAACTAACATTATCTGCTGCATTCTAACATCAAATCTCTATTCGTAAAGTAGCAGGCAAATTTCCCTCCGACTTATATTAAATTTACTCTCTATATACCTACTGCTTCGACCATCTTAATTAAAATATATATTTCTTTCGTTAGTCGATGATACGTTCCTCCATTATCCGGTCATGTTATTATCTACAACAAAACTAGAAACAAGCACTAAAAGGGAAATGCGATGCTGCTTTAGCGTCATGCAGCTCAACTAGCAAGCAAAATGCAGCATGCTTTTGATGCTACTAGGCTGGGAGGCCGGCGAGAGGAGAGCCAGAAATGCACGGGAAAGTATTAAAGATATCATGCTCGATATCTGTTTGTATACTTTAATTGCATTTTCTTAGATGAGCACGAGGATTGAGATTCTTGTGACGTCATGTTTACGGATTAAAAAGTAGACAAAAAGACTGATGACGTGTATTTTTTTTTATTTTTCTTAAACTATCTTTCTCAATATCTAAAAAGTTTTCTTTCAAATACACTATATAATATACAATACATATAAATTTGGGTTTACTTTCCATTAATTAGAAATCCCCGTAATACGATACAAATAAGAAATGATCATAACAGTTACAGAAACGATCTGCACCTGCAATCGAACACACAAAACGCGGAATGAATTTTTAATTAAAAAGCAAATTAACTCCCCTCCTGGAAATGAGTTTACAAAAGCGATCTGCAACGCCCCGTCCTTTCGAGCAGCCAACAGTACAATTCTGTTAATGGGAATCCGCCCTAATCCCCTGTGTCATCGACCTGCCGCTGAACAGAGATCAAAGGACCATTACCCACCGCAGACCACGTGATCTATAAGCACGTGACGTCACTCTCAGCGCCCCTTAGGATCTCCTCGCGACTTCTCTCTTTTTAGGAGAGATCTGGCTCTCCCGCGGCTCCTCCGAGAGATAAGAAGCCAAATGCGCAAGACTAGGACAGTTTCTTGGATAAATTCGCTGTAAGAAAATACTTTTAAATCACCCTTTTTTAGAGAATTTATTTGAGCATGAGTATAATAGAAAATGGAACTGTTTTAGGGACTTTGCACGCATCAGTAAACATAAATATATAGATACTTTTTAGCAATACAACAAAAGGGCGAAGTTTCTTGATATTGTACGCGAATTAGAACTTTAAGACGGAAAGCAGAAATTACCTTTTAATACATTATCACTTTAAGAATGTTAGATAATCAATTAGGGAAAAAGGAGCGAGAGAAAGAAATTGGAATTTACCGAAGAAACCGTCTGCCATTAAAAAAAAGGGAATTTGTGCTCAC